ATATATATATATATATATATATAAAATTTACTTTGCATTTGTTAAGGGCATCTCAATGCGAACCGTTTGCAGTAGTGATTTTTGAAGACCAAAGCTGTTCAGAAATTCCTACTACGTGGTTAAGGCCTGATCGAAAGAAGTGTTTGTGGCCTCCCAATGTTAAGAATGTGTCGTTCATAATGGCAAAGGGGGTTCAACCAGATGAATCTTGGAATGAATTTGACATTACGGTGGAAGCATATTGTTGTAAGTAGGTATACATATACAGTGTGTCTAGCTAAGTTCGCGACAAAGGGAAAACTTTTTTATTCTTGGGTTTATGAAAAAAGTTATTCTTTATAAAAAGTCCTGCTTCATCCAAAACTTAAATTGAAATTGTCAGATTTTAATATTTGTTAGTCATATGTATACTATATTATATCATGCCTTTAAAACCCTTCTAATTGTTTGTGGAATTATTTTACGGATTTCTTCTCTAATTACACGTTCTAGATGGCCTACATCCGTAAACGGCGCTTGAATATTAACATTTTCTTTTAAATAACCCCACAAGAAAAAATCAAGTGGGGTCAGATCTGGAGACCGAGGTGGCCAACGTATTTCATATTTTTTGTCATATCTCATGTACTTATGACTAACAAATATTAAAATCTGACAATTTGAATATAAGTTTTGGATGAAGCAGGACTTTTTATAAAGAATAACTTTTTTTCATAAACCCAAGAATAAAAAACTTTTCCATTTGTCGCAAACTTAGCTAGACACACATTTTGTGAGTAGCGTTATAAATAATTGTATGAAGGCATATCATTTGTAAAATTTTGTAACTGTTTAAACTCAAAAATTAACTATAAACAGACTTTCTAGTATACAACATTAATATGTTTAAAAACTAAATTTCGACGAAATTTATTATTTTAGAATTTAAATAATGATCACAGGTAGCCTTTCTGTGCCTTTGTACAGGGTTCCCCGTATTAGACTGATCATTTTGTTACTGGCACAAAATCCTTTATTTCATTAATATGCAGCCAATTCTATGGAAATTATTCATAGAGTAAACATGTAATCAATTTTAAAAAATCATGTCTTCCAAATGCCCTCCATCAGCTTGAATACATCTTTCAAGTCTAGAGGCAAAACTGTTCATCATTCCCATAAAATTGGCTGTATATTAATGCAATAAAGGATTTTTTTACTTAAGTTAGAAAAATTGTATGCCAGTAACAAAATGATCAGTCTAATATGGAGAACCCTGTATACTTCACTAGCACTCTCACAAGTTACCTTATACTTATCAGGTAAAACTTAAAAACTTCTTTATTTGCAGCATCTTTAAAAAAGGCCAGGAAAAAAGCTGAAGACCGGGATTATACATCGGCAGATGAAAAAGCCTTAGGACGAGGAAAAAGATCTAAGGCTATTACTCATCCTTGTAATACAGATTCTAGTTCTGATTCTAGAGGTAAATATGAATTTAAAAAACATATTACTTGCATTATATATTGTGTTTATCTACAGAATCTTCAAAGTCACCACCACCACCGCGACTTCCTCCACGAGCTATTAGTCACAAAAAAACTTGTAAGTATAATTTATTCACATTTTACCGAGGGGTGAACAAGAATTTTATATAGGCATACTTGTAATTTTCACGTTACGTTATTGCGCGAAAATTGTTTCAGTATTGCAAAAATTGCTATAAAATGTCTACAATTGTTGAAAAATTGTCGCAATCGCTCGAAATTGCCACAATTGCTAGAAAATTGCTAGAAAATTGCCACAATTGGTGGACAATTGCAAAAATTGCTACTACTTGTACATCAAAATTGCTAAGTGGTTTGACCCTCGCATTTTACCTTTGGATTGATAGTACATAGCATGCAGCGACCTTACTGACATTTTAAATTTTAATAAAGTTTTTAACAATATAGGCACAACACACTGATTTGTTTTAGCAAAAGTGAACACTGTGGAGAAAGTTAACCAGAACAACTTCGAGGATAACATTCAAGTTATAGACGAAATACCTATTTTATCAGAAATTCCGATAATTATTGATGGTGTAGAAGTATGGGGTTGCGTGTGTTCTTTATACTTTGATCTTTGTACAGAAAAGGTATTTTATTTCTACATTTTACAACTATATACAAATACTATTCTTCGTCGCCGAAGAGTCTTCTGAGTGTCTGCTTCCGTTGTCGGTCCCGTACTATGAAACGACGTGGGTCCGTGAGCGGAACGCTCTTCGGGTCTACGTTGGCGGCGGCGTGTACGGCTGCGGTCTCCAACTTTTCTGCGGGCTCGGGGGCAGCGGCGAAACGGCTGGCGGTAGCGGTTCGCGCCGTAAGAAGCGTCGCAGTGTGTTCCGTCTCTGCCTTTTTACCTTGGTTGGTGTTGTCGGCGGCATGGACGTGGTACGTCGGTGCAGGCTGTGGTGAACGCTGCTTTGTTTACACCAGGTTCGTGTGAGCTGGTGTTTTGTGCAGGCTATGGGTGAGCGCTGCTAAAAGTATTCACTGGCTATGATGAACGCAGTGTGCTGGGAGAAGCTACTGTTATGAGGAACGAGTAGTTTCTGATTCCTTCGTTTGGTGAGCTGGATTCCATATTTCAGCAGCCCGAGCTATTTAGCTTTTACTGCTTGCTGGTTAATTGTTCATGTCGTCTTGTTTCCTCTTTTGTTGTTTCTGAGGGTGTGCGTGTTGCTCTTGGAGCGATGTCCTATTTCCATCTCTGTTCCACCAGTGAGGATTGTTAGGCAAGGGTTCCAACGGGCTGCGTCACCTCTTGCTGACGCGGTTGGTGGAAACTAGAGTGGTTGAGGATTATTCGTTTTTCTGCAGCACCCTCCTTGGCCGCTTCTTCTTTTGCTCCTGTGTACCAGCCACGGGAGCGATGTCTCTGATGTGCTGGCTGTCAGAGTTGTCCATTCGTTGGTATACTTTTTCGGCCAGCGATCGAGTATGTTCGGCGAGGGTGTCCTTTGCAGGTCCTGCCTGATGGTGGTGTTCGAAACGAAGTAGGGGGCTCTGGTAATCGCGCGCAGCGCGGTGGATTGTACCGCTTCCAGTGCGGTGGAGTTGG